ATGTATCTTATCATGATGTATATGATATTAGTTTCAAGAAATAGAAAGTAATACTTCCTCTTGCTCTCTCTCTATTATAAGTGTGTGTGAGTTTTATATTATAGTCCTACTTTAATATCATAAATTGACATAATAAATCATCTCATTCCTTATATAAATTGTATATATTGATATTGAAATATTAAATATAATCTAAGTTGTGTAGACCCAAGTCTAATTAAGATTGTATATAAATAGTTCTAATCTGTATCATTATTTGTACAATTAAATAATATAAATTTTTATTTCCTTTATTATTCCCTTTTTCTGTTCTCACTAAAAGTGCTTCACGCACAACAAATTGGTATCCAGAGTTTTCAGTTATTATTCTTGATTGAGTTTTCCAGAATTTCACATTAGAGATTGTGTTTCTAGGGCAAGTGAATCAACCGATATGAAGATGGCTAGTGATAAGGGCATTCTGAATTCTCTTCCAATGCTTGACGGTAAGAATTGGATCCGATAGAAAAAACAAATGCAATCCTTGTTTGGCTTCTATGAAACTCTAGAAGTGGTTACCAATGACATTCATGCGTTGGCTGCAAATGCAAGCGACGAACATAAAAAATCCCACAACGAAGTCAAGAAGAAAGATTGCAAGGCTACTTATTGCATTCAGACGACGGTCAATGCTATTAATTTTGATAAAATCTCTCATGCTGAAATGAAAAATGAGGCATGGGATATTCTGGTGAAGTATTATGAAAGAGGTGAAAAAGTCAAGATTGTCAAGTTACAAACCGTGCGTCCACAATATGAGTTGTTGTCAATGGGAGAAGATGAAAAAGTTGTAGAATATGTGTCGAAGGTTCAAAAATTTGTCCATCTAATGAAGGGTTGTGGTCAAACCATAACCGATAAGATGATAGTTGAGAAGGTAATGAGAACATTGACCTCTCACTTTGATCACATTATCGCAGCTATTCAAGAATCCAACAATCTTGAAACCATTAAAGTGGAAGATTTGGCTGGTTCGTTGGAGGCACATGAGATGAGGATTGTCGAAAGGAAAGGAGTGCAAGACTCGATACAGGCTCCTCAAGCCCAGTCATGGAAAAAGGATGGTTGTTCCAACAAATTCAAAGGCAAGTTCGACAAGACTCAGATAAAGATGTCTTGGTCGAAACCTCACAAACATCAGGTCGAAGATGGAGCTTCTAAATCCTTGAAAGGAAGAAATGGAAACTATCGAAAGGGAAAATAAGATAAAAAAGTTGTGCAGTGCTATAACTATGAAAAGTGGGGTCACGTAGCCAAGAATTGTTGGTACAAAAAAGATAGGGGATCGACAAGCAAGGATGAAGAAGCAAACCTTACACGCCAAGATTCAGATGATTCTGAAGGTGGTATGGTGGTTATGGCTGGAGTTGCAGACAACCATGTCAAATCTAAAATTAGGTTTCTCGACTCAGGTTGCTCGAACCAAATGACTGATCGAAAGGAGTGTTTGGCAAATTTTGACGAGTCGAAGAAGCGTAAGGTAAAATGTGCTGATAATAGTTCATTGCAAGCAGGAGGTACTGGAAATATAGTCTTACAACTGAGTAATTGAGGGAAAGCTATGTTCAAAGAGGCGTTTTATGTATCTGGAATAAAGTGCAACTTGCTAAGTGTTGGACAACTAGTCGAAAAAGGTTTCTCAGTTGTCATGAAAAATGGAGTTTTGAAATTGTTCGACACCAAGAACAAGTTGGTCTTAAAATCTCCATTATTGAAGAACGAGACATTTAATACTATGATCAGTTCGACTGAAGTTCAATGTTTGAAAAATGTTATTGACCACAAGGATAATTGGTTGTGGCATTTGAGGTTTGGACATTTGAATTTTTGATCACTCAATCAACTTATTACTCAAGATATGGTTACTGGAGTTCCAAGTCTTGTGATGCCTGAAAATCTTTGTGACGGTTCTTTAGTAGGAAAGCAATCCATAAATTATTTCGTTTCGACTATGCCAATGAGATTATCTTGCATACTCGAAGTGGTACATTCATATGTATGTGGTCCATTCAAAGAACATACAATTGGTGGAACAAATATTTTGTTTCGTTTTTCAATGAGTTTAGACAAAAGGACGAAATATTCAAAATCTTTAAGAGATTCAAGACACTTGTCGAAAACCAGAGTGAAAAGAAGATCAAAGTTCTGCGAACAGATAAAGGTGGTGAATACACATCCAAGATGTTTGAAGATTTCTGTGTAGAACATGATGTTGATCATGAGGTAATTGCTTCTTATAAACCTCAACATAATGGAATTGCTGAAAGAAGAAACATAACTATATTAGATATGGTGAGATGCATGCTGAAGCAAAAGAATTTTTCAAAGTTTTTATAGGGAGAAGCTGTTTCGACTGCAATTTATATTTTTAATTGGTGTCCTACCAAGATATTAAAGAAAAAAGTTCTTGAAGAAGTATAGAGTGGAAAACGACCATCAATGAGTCATTTGAAGGTGTTTGGCTCTATGTGTTACAAGTATGTTCTTGATGCAAGAAGAAGGAAGCTTGATGATAAGAGTGAACCTATGATTCTGGTAGGATATCATAAAATTGGTGCATACAGACTATTCAATCCAGTTAATAAGAAGATTGTGTTGAGTCGAGATATTGTGATTAATAAAAATTCTGCTTGGGATTGGAATTCTAGCAATTCTATTAACAAGTCATTGATGATTTTTTATGTCGATTAAGAAACTGTTGAAATAGAGGCCGAAGGAATTATTGAGAATCTAGTCGAAGTCGAAGAAGAAGTAGTTGCAGACATTACCGACACTGTCGAAGTCGAAGAGGCTGTGGCTGAAACAAGAGAAAGACCTCAAAGAAATAGAGTTCTTCGAACAAGACATTATGCGTATGAAGTGGTTGGTGATGATGAAGTCACACCAAATGGAGAATTAATTCAATTTGCTTTACTTGCAGGTGCTGAACCAATTGACTATAGCGAAGCTTTGAAGACTAAACAGTGGAATTTAGCTAGGATCAAAGAGTTATAGTAAATCGAAAGAAACAACACATGTGAGTTAGTCGAGTTGACAGCATATATAAAAGCTATCGAAGTAAAGTGGGTATTAAAGTTGAAACATAATGTTGATGGCTCGATAGAAGGACATAAAGCGAGATTAGTAGCTCGAGAGTTTCTTCAAAGAGAAGGACTCAACTACTTTGAAGTATTTGCTCCAGTAGCAAGATTGGAGGTTGTTCGACTAGTCGTGGCCTTGACATGCAACCAAGGTTGGTTGACATTTCATTTAGATGTGAAATCAGCATTTCTTAATGGTCCTTTAGACGAAGAGGTCTATGTCACACAACATCCAGGGTTTGTGATTCAGAAGGAAGTGAGTAAAGTATATAATTTGCACAAAGTGCTCTATGGCCTCAAGCAGGCACCTAGGGCATGTAACAAGAAGATCGACTCATACTTAATCGAATTGGAATTTGGAAAATGCAAATCTAAGTATGGTGTTTATGTCCAGGTTGTAGCACACGATATAACAATCATCTGCTTATATATCGATGACTTGCTAGTAACTGGAAATAGCTTGGACAACTTGTTGAAGTTCAAAGAGCTGATGATGAAGGAATTTGAAATGTCTGATATGGAAAAATTGTCTTATTTCTTAGTTATGGAATTTCAAATGTCGAAGCAATGAATGATGCTACATCAAAGGAAGTATGTCAAAGAAATACTCAAGAGATTCAAAATGGATGATTCAAATCATGCATCCTCACGTGTCGAACCAAATGTAAAATTGGAGAAGAATGTAGAGGAAGACAAAGTCGATGTAACTTTGTTCAAGCAAATTGTGGTGTCTCTAAAGCATGTGCAACAGTCGACCTCATATAGGTTTCGCTGCAGGATTAGTAAGTAGATATATGAGTGAACCAAAAGTGTCACATATGAAGGCTGCAAGAAGAATTCTGAGATATTTGAAGGGTTCGATAAACCGTGGAATACTATTTCGATGAGACTTTGAAGACAAAGAAGCAATAGTTAATTGTTTTTCAGAAGCTGATTGGTGTGGAGATAAGGAAGATCGAAGAAGCACAACTAGATATTTCTTTCAAGTATTTGATGCTCCAAGATCATGGTGTTCGAAGAAACAACCTGTGATGGCATTATCATCTTGTGAAGCCGAATATATAGTAGGATCCTATGCTGCATGTTAAGCAATTTGGATCAGATATGTACTTAAAGAAATGAAGGTCGAATTGAAGAAACCTCTTGTATTGCAAATCGACAACAAGTCAGCCATAAATCTGACGAAGAATCCGGTTCTGCATGGAAGAAGTAAACATATTGAAATAATGTTTCACTTCTTGAGAGAAAAGGTAAATTGAGGTGAACTTGAAGTAAGACATTGCTCGAGTGAAACACAGTTGGCCGACATTTTCACCAAAAGATTGAAGATTGAAAAATTTCTGAATTTGAGAAAGAAATTAAGAATAATTCAGATAAACTATTTTTGAGGACGCTCAACTACTTGGATTATGAGGTGTGTTCAAATATTAAATTAGATTTATTAAAATATTATATTAGATTAAATTTAATATTTAAATATAATTCAAGTTGTATAGACCCAAACCCAATTAGAGTTGTAAATAAATAGTCCTAATTTGTATTATTATTTATACAATTCAATAATTTAAATCTTTATTATCTTTATTATTCTTTCTTTCTATTCTCACTAAAAATATCTCACATAACAATTGATACACTAATCCATTTAAAAAACATCAAAATTTGCATAAACAAACAAACTTATTAATCACAATCACAACCATTTCTTTTCACGTGAACGTCTCAAACAATTGAAGATACATATCAATTGAACTTCGCAAAAAACACGAATAAATGTGCATTCCTTTTCATTAACATGACAAAATTGACATACCATTAAAAAAAAAGTGGCACCCGCGTATAGTACCAGTTGATCAGCAAATACACTAATAGTAGAATTATCTAACCGAAGGGCTTGTAGATCGTAAGTTCTGAGATGATTCCTTGAATTGATCCAACTGCAGCAACAAGACTCACAATCAAGCAAAACACACTTAGAAGTTTCATCCCTATCCATATAGAAGAATACTTGGGCGTTTTAGTTCGTGTTAGGTACATCTCTGTTGGAAAGTACACTGTCAAGGGAAAGAAGGATAAAGCTCCTATCAAACCCACAATGCTGTTGAAGAACGGAAGTAAGATAGCAATCAATGTTGTGATTATCACATAAAGTGTCCTCCATATCAACCTGAACATATTCATTCTCCACATACCAACCAATGGAATTCTTATATTATATTCTTTTGTCATCAATTTGCTTTGTGGCCACTTCTCACAGCCCCAATTTTCCATAAGGGAAAATATAGGTTGTGCAAATACCTGGTAGGCTCCGACTAGATGAATAACGATGAACAAATTACCAATGTCGACCAGCCAAAACGGTTCATAAAATCCAAATCCGGTTAAAAAATTTCCCGGTGCATCATTCCCAAATGCTGCATACCCTAAAATACCACATAATGCATAAAAGAATGTGGTGATCGAAATTCCAATTAGAGATGCTTTCCTCATGGTTTTATGTTCTGGCGGACTTGATTTTAGCGTGTCCTGTATAAAAAAAAAAAATCAGATTTCATCGTTTTAATTTAACTTATGAAGAATCTACGATAAAAGAAAGATATACGAGAACATTTTTAACATCACCTACCTGTATCTCAACAATAACAATACTGAAAGCATATGCAAAAGCTATGTTTCCAAGTGCTTGAAAGGTATTCCACACCTTTTTTGAACTTGTGATATCCACTCCAACAACTAGTCCTGTAAGACTTGTCTCCCAATGGTGTCCTTTTTCTAAAGATATATCAAATAGAGTGATGTATGTGTTAAATAACTTATAAGCATAACCACAAGTGAAATTCTCTAATTTTATATTTAGCTAAAAATAGTTGATGAATAACCTGCAATTTTTGCTATGGAGAGACTGATGCCGATAGAAGCATAACCAAAAGACATTACAGCAGCAACAATAGAGAGCCATGAAAGTTCATGGAAATCTGGAATTTGGCTTAGAAAAATCTGAAAGATCCCAAAGATGGCCATATATGGATAATTGGCTGAATCACAATCTGCTTCATGACCATACTTATGAAAGCAGTTGGATTTTTTTATGGCCCTAGTTAGGAAAAACAAGCAAATTTATTATCATTATTTTTACTATTCTCACAGGCTTATTGAATAAAATAAATTATAGATTTAGGTGAGAGATTCTTACACTATACTAATGGCAGCTGTTAGAGTGTAACCAATGGTACAACCCACAAGATTTGTGTATTGTGCCAATCCACACAACTTGTGCTGATATCCTCCTGTAAATAAAGAGATTAGAATGAAACAATCATTATACAATTTATCTTTCGCACTATATAAATCAATAATAATATTCAATATTTTCTAATATTAGCATAAATTTTTACAACTAAAACTAATTAGGTACAACTTTGTTGCTAAATTACATTTAAATTTTAAAATTATTTGGTTGACATGACAGATTAATATTAGTTTTCTATTATACGACAGTGTAAAACTTTTTCATACCGTCAGTGCATTTTTACTGAACCAAAATTTTAATCGAAGAAAAATAAAGTTCAACTAGATATAATAAGATTAAATAATTTATTAGGGGCTCATTAGATCAAAATTTGCATCATAACCATCTACAAGATTTAGTGCACTCAGTAACTCTTGATTCAACTCATTTCCACTTTCGTTACAAAAATATTAGATTTTTTAAAACAGATCCAAATCTATGACTAGAAATTGAAACATTAAACATGGAATTTTTTTACTGACCTAAAATACTTTTAACAGCGTCTATGTAGGTGTGGTTTCTGGTTCCGTGGACCGGATCAGGATACCTATAGCAATCACTAAGTAGACAAGCAGTGAAATAAGTGATGATGGAGAAGAGCATGAGAACGGCAGACCCTGCAATCCATCCCAATTGTGCAACAGCCCATGCCAATGATAGCACTCCAGATCCAATTACAGCAGTAACAATGTGTGCACTTGCGGTCATGCATGTTCCTTATGAATCGTAATCAAAACATAATTGATGTCAACGACAAAACAAATAATTTAATCCATAAATAACTAACACGGACAAAAGAAATATCTACATTAATAAATTTTAACAAAAAGTGTCGGTATTACAGAAGACACAGTTAAATATATTATTATTTGTTTAATATTTGACAAGCCTTTTATCAAAGATGTCTGTTTGATAATACACACCTGTTCTTTTTATGCGACCATCATCGTCGTATTTACTATTCTCTATCGAGAAGCTACTTTCAACTGTCATGCTTTTCTCTTTGATGAATATTTTGTTTTGAAAAGTGATATGAAATTCTTAGCCACTAAGCACTTTTTAAAAGAAAATTTAAGAATATTTTAATATAGAATAATAGCAAAAGTTTGACCAAATTCGGGATCTATTCAATGCTCTAATAAGAATTTTTTTATATTTATTGTATCAAAAAGGAGAATTGATTAATTCTTTAAGGATACGTTCTTATCTTGGATGATTTTTAAAATATTTACTAATTTAGTTTTTAAAAGGATTGATTCATTAGTTATAGATAACGTTATCTGTCCTAAACATAATATAATTTATATTATCATTGTTTATCAAAAACAGAGTTTAATAATATACATTAAGATTTTATTTTGACAAAAAATTAGCCAATAACTCATTACAATTGTTATTTTTTATTTAAAAGATTATAATATTTAGTTTCAAAAAATATTTTATGGAATTAAAAACTATGTAAGAATTATTTATAAAAAAAAACAGTCTATCTAAAATGAATCATAGGTATTGCATATGATTAGGGGTGATAAAACATACTGCATGCGTCGTCCCTTCCGACACCGCCATGAGCTCGTTAAAAGAAGAGCGAAGCGGAAAAGTCTGTCAAATAGAAATTGACATAAAAATCTAGTTTGTCCGCTTATTTTTTTATTTTTTTATTTTTTATTTTTTAATATATTAAAAGTCTTTTTTTTTTTTTACATTTCGATTAAATTTTTTATTTATTTTTTAAAATAATTTTTTATAAAACATCTTTTTAACGAAATTAAAAGATCACATATATTTATAAATAAATATATAAAATAAAAGTATCAAATTGGACTACTAGAATTAACTAAAAAAGACGAATTTAAGGTGAGACAAGCTTAACGAATAGGTGCGGCGAACTTTAACATGCGTTGAGTTTTGACAGACGGACTTTGATGGACGGCTGTTTTTAACAAGACGGATTTTGGTAAATAGCGGGTTTAAAATATCATCCCAACCTACTATTTTTTGGTGGAAGTGCAGATCGGACCGGCAGACGACAATTCATTTTGTCACCTTTATATATGATTTAAAATTTATCACAATTAAATTATATTTAAATAATATTAAATCTATGTCAATATTAAAACATAATTAAATAAATTCTCTAATTATTTTTGTTTTTTTTTCATGGTTCAACAACATAGCCATTTTTCATGCTAAAAAGATATTATTTACAATTCTTTCATTAATAATTAAGCAATTAATAATTAATGAATTCAATCAAATATTTACATGTACATTATTTAATCAACAGGTAAGAATCTTTAATAGTTACCAACATATTTTTCGTATTAATATTATAGTTTAATAGACAATTTAATTTAAAATAGTATATCATATCATTCAATTTGTCTGTATCCATAATTTAATCCTTTTTATTTACATGTTTTTTTAACAAAGTTTATTTATATCTTCAAAATAAATAAAAATGCTTTTTCTCGATAAATCGTGATAACAAATATATTAAATTTGGCTTTCTAGAACGTCTCTTTAAAAATGCGCTAAAACAAGATAGGAATGAAAACTAACATCTCTTTTTTAATTAAAAAAGTGTTATTAATATTTAAATAATAATACGTTTAAAATTTTTACATTTCAGAGATTTAAGGTACAGAAAATATGATTTAGAATTTAATTAAATATATTGATAATATAATTTTTTTTCCACTATCACTAAATTATGACGGTTAGATTATAAATTATATTTTAATTTTATTTTAATTATTTATTAAATACTATTAATAAGTGGTTATCATACACTAACTATATAAAAAAAATTATATTAACAATACATTGCAATTAATCTCATCTTTTTAAATATACACTCGTAAAAATCCGTTATTAATTTTGCACCCGTAGAGTTCAACTATGCAATTTTCAATATTATTTTTTATAAAAAAATGTTTATTTTTTACATAAAAGCAAACTTTTAACTCAAACCCTCATTTCACGAATGTGAAAAGACATTGCACTAAATGCCATCATTGTTATTTCACTATTAGAATTACTTGATATTCCTGCGGAAATAAATCTGCAGATATACTTGAGGATTTTCCTGTAACATTATTAAATAAAATAAATCTTCCTGCGGATTTCGTTTTTCCAGAAATTCCGCAGGTATGCCTGCGAAATTTTCTGCAGAACTCTCATTTTCTGTAAAAATCAAACTACATTTAGAAATCTGCATGTAATTTCGCAGGAAATTGTTTTACGGATTTTGATGCGGAAATTTTGTACTACTTTTAATATATTTTTTTAATTTAAAAAAATATGTAAATTTAAAACTAGTATTTTTTTATTAAAAAATAATATAATTCCTTGTTTTTAAGTAAATATAACATTTTTTTTCTATTTTTGTAAAAACTAAAAATACAAACTTATATATGAATATAATTTGGTATGTAATTCTTCAATTTCTATTTTAATAAAAAATATCAAAATTTTGAAAAATAAATTTGAAAAATAGTATAAAAATTGTAAAGAAACTGTTAAAAATAAATTCAGTAGGAATATAAAAAAATTGTAAAACAAAATTTGATAAAGTTTACAAAAAAATAAAGTCAGTAGGAATATAAAAAAATTGTAAAACAAAATTTGATAAAGTTTACATAAAAATAAAGTCAGTAGAAATATAAAAAAATTGTAAAACAAAATCTGATAAAATTTACAATTTATAAGAATCGAACTCTCTCATAATGGACAAGGTAATCTACCACTAAGACAACACAACATTTTAAGTTGATATTTTTCTGAAACAAAATCTATGTATAGTTTACTAATCTCTTTTTTTTTAAAGTTTTGATTTATTTTATTTCAAAACGCTCAAACTCTAACTAAAAGCAAATTTTGTTAAACAGAAACCTAGAGTCGCTCCAACTTAATCAGAATCTCGCTCCATCGATTGAAGTTATTCACAAACCATCGATTGTCTTTGTAAATCCTAGAAACGTAATCACCACCACCATTTTATCGCAAACCATTAATTTTAACAACAACCGATTTTTAGAACCCCTGATTTTCACAACCACCGTCCGTAAACGCAATCACAACCACCAAAGGTCCATTGTCTCGCCATTCTTCAGACTACCTAGACAACAAAGATGTTTTTTCCGATCTGTTTGATCTTTTTGTTTTGTTTTCTTTAATTGAGGTTTGTTTAATTTATCTCTATAAGTAGTTTAACTTTAGTACATTTGTTGTTTCTTTGGTGAATTCGAGGGACTTCCAGTGAATAGATTCTGCTTTAGCAAGGATAATTTTATTTTTTACTACTACTAAACATGCATTCAACAACGTCGTGGTCACTGTAACATCCCAAAAATTTAGATTAATTATTTAATTAATTATTTAATTGATTTAGTGTGAAAATTTTAATGATTATTGGCGAATATATGAATTATTATGATTTATATGATGCATTGACGTGTCTCGATGATACAGCGTTATGAGGTAATGTTGGAATAAGAGAAATATGAGGATTTCTTAATTAATTTAATATTGTTTAGAATTTAAATGATTATTTGAGATTAATTAGATTTAATAATAATAATTAGAATTATTATTAATAAAATAAATGAAAAATGATGTAGAGACAAGAAGGGCTAAATGGTAAAGTTATATGGATTAAGTGAGGGCAAGGAAGGGTCCTAGGGGTAAGATGGGCAAAAAGAAAAGATTGGGGTTTTGTTCATTCACTTGTTATGATCGAGTTTCGGAGAAAACTAAGAAGCGGCTAGGGCAAAGAGAGAATAGGAGAGGAATTCATTATGTAGAGCTTGAAAGAGATTCATTAATAAGAACTAAGGTAAGGGGTTTATCGCGTTTATTATAATTTATATCGGGTTAAGGTGTTGGTAGGTTTGTGATTTGTGCGATGATTTTGATGAAATTGGTGAAAACCATGTATTGAATAAATAAAAGAATGCATCTTTGATGAATGGATGATGTTAGCACCTCTAAATATGTGTCATGGGATGTTATAAATGTTATATAATCATAGGATTTTAAATTCTAAATTTGGGAATTTTTATGGAATCGAATTTGGAGGTCTGGAAGGCCTCTAATTGTGAAAAACCGCAGGTTGAGGAGTGTTATCCCGCATGCAGTGCCCCATCAGCACCAGGCGAGCCTCATGCGGAGCAGTCTAGCAGCAATGTTCAAAACATCATAACTTGAGTTTTAGGTATCCGTTTGATGCACCGTTCGAAGTGTTAGGAAGCTGGCGTGATGAACAATGTTATGATTGAATTATATGTGTGTTTCGATGCATGATTCCAATATCTGTGTGTTTATGATATTGATTTATTACATGTTGTTATAATATGATGTGCTATTTTGATGATAGACATGATGTTGATTATGATGTTCTATTGTAGCGATTTGGTAATGATGTTGTTGTGACGTAAATGATTTGATTCATGATGATGATTTGGTGATATGCGTGTACAAATATAATACATGCTATTGTGACAAATTTATGATGATTTATGATGTTTTAATGCTATGAAATGATGTATTTGATGCCTACTATGATGTGGTATTGAGATGTTATGAAACTATGATGAATCGTGTGAATTTTGGGCAAAATGGATGATGAAATCGTAAGGAATTTGTACTGGTTCTCTGCAAAAAATACAACAATAGAGTTTCTATTTTCCACCCTCGCCGGGCGAGCTTCCCAAGTCGTCGGGCGAATCATCTTCGCCCAGATTCATCAGGCGAGAGTGAAGAAAGAGAGAGGCATGATTTTGGAAGGTTCTTGAAAATATATAGAGAAGGTGTCTCGCTTCAGATTCGTCGGGTGAAAGAGATGATGGAAAATAAATGATTCTGAAATTTTTTATGGGGGGAGGCTTTTCTCCCCAGCCTCGCAAGGCGAGCCTTGGGCAAGCGAACTGATTCGTCGTGCAAGCCTCGGGCAAGTGGCAACTAATAGATTTTATAAAGGCCGTAAGTTGAGT